TTAATTTATGTTAGTTTTCCACTTGAGAAGTAATCCTTGTGTGGGACAAAAAAGAGGTGGCAAAGTGTTTATAGAAACAAAACACTTTTTGCCTCATTAGTTTGGCTCGTAAAGCTTATTGAGCCTAAACCAACACCTAAAAGCCAATCATTCATGGGCATTGCGAGTAGAACTGCCCAAGCCTGTAATCAGATCACTAGGAAGCCCCAGCACCTTTGTACAGGGCGACGGGGCTGGGTGAGGTCCCAGCTCTGCAGCCAGAGGGGTGCAGTAGGATCCTTTTCTCCGCCAGGAACCCCTCCGGGCTCCCTCGGGTCTGCTGTTTATTGTGCCACACCACTGGTCCAGTGACATAGCCCACACCTTGCTGAGGTGACCAAGAAAAAGTGTTTGGATGAGATTAAGATCTCCAGTAATTCTTTTAAGATTACTGGTAATGCTGCAATCATGGATCCACAGGGCTCAGTCCTTGCACAACAGCCTCTCTGCAGCCAGGCGCAAGAGGTCTGACACTGGACGTGCTGGACACAAGCGTGTGAGTGTTTTGTCCACCGTCTCCAGAATCCTTACAGGTATTTGCAATAATCCCACAGCAAGAAAGGTGTTAAAACCACACCTAGACATAATCTGACTTGAACATTGTGTTCCCTTGAAAGGCAGCTTGACAAGTTAGTTGCCAAAACCTAGCTCAGGTTTCTGAACTGAAAGGTGCTGTGTCCCAGCAGGCTGAAGGCAGGTAATATTTTGCTAACGCCAAGAATTTAGGGCTCAAACATGTTGTATAGCAGGAAGCAGCTGAAAACTGCAGATTCCTGAGGCCCTGTTTCCTCTTTTAAGATGTAGGAGGTAGATCAATACCTCAAACAGGAACTCTATGTAGCCTATTTACAATTGGATAATCAAAATTTAAGGTCAGAACACCCAGAAACTACAATGTTTGATCTAGGAATGCCAGTGTGGCATGTTAAACCTCCCTTTGACTCATAATCCCTCACAAACAGCCATTCTACCTTTTAACCCTGTGTAACTAATTGCCAGCGTAATACCACGGTGACAGAGACAGCCATGGGCCAGGTGACAGCCAGCCCAGGCTACACAGCTGCCTTCCTGCCCACAGCGGCAGGGTTTTTTTTCAAGTTTTTCTTAAGATTCAGAAGAGCAATGTCCTATTTGCATCTGTTTTGAGAACTCATGGTTCACCGATACCCACAGGCACGGCCCGGGAAGCCTTTCCATGCAACTTGGGACAGCCTGGCAATGCAGTGTGAAATGCATCAGGACACCAGCGTTCAGAGACCCGTCCACGGTGCTGTAGGTAAAAATGGAACAAGCGAGCCATCAGAGTTTTGAGCGCTCTCAACATTGTTCTTTCAAATTCAGATGGGAAAATGAATGTCAACATTTTTTCAAGTTCCAAAGCAAACGCAAAAATATGGCGATTAGAGGAAGTGCAGCGGGAGTCAGCATTGTTACCTGGCTTTGGAAGCTAAAGAGATGACACTGGTCTCGTGATTTTCTAGTGCTTTTTCTGTAACTTTCTGCCAAGGGCACAGATTTGTGCCATCACTGGTTCTGCCTCTCTCACCTTTCACAGCTGCGCTTTACAGCTGCGTTTTAAGGCAGCATTTTACAGCGGCGTAACTTTACTCACCTCAGGAGCTACAACCAACGTACGCAGCCAGAGAAATCAGGAGAATCCAAACAGCCTGATCCCATACATACCAATAATCACGGCAGGACCCGCGCCACCTTGGGTTATTTTCAGGCATTCAGGAGGACAGCAGCAGGCTCAGGACTCCTGTGAAGCACTTGCTGTGTGTACTTTCTGAGCAAGTTGTAATGAAGTTTTAGCTTTCTAAAGCATGCACTTCCATTTCTCTTCAGCAATAAGCAACAAACTGTTGCTTGCCTCTGCACCCTTTGAAGGGAAGTCTCCTTAGAACAAGCGTATTTACCAGCAGCTACTACGCAGTCATATCCGAAACACCACGAAATATTTTCTGATTTTAAGAGGAGGGACCTGCATGCTATCTCAGATATTCCTTCACCACAGCCTCACACCAAATAGTGATGTTTGTCTGATGAAAACACTATTTGGCATCTGTGGTCTCATTCCTTTCACCTTAAATTCACGAAGATAAATTATCTCCCCATGTCCTCCCCTATTCCTGCCATTCTTTGGAGAGGTCTAAGCCTGTGTTCTTCAAGGTCATAGGCTTGGGGGAATTTTTGTACAGGGAGGAGTGAGATTTATTAGAACCAGCTTGCATGTATCACCTATACCTATCACAAGGATTAAGTGTTATTCCTGTGTCGATATTTGCATACAGACATCCCAGCACGCACATGCCACCTCTGAGTCACACCTATCTTTTTAGCTCCCTGCATAAAGTAATACAAAATTAACTACTGGCTTTTTTTCTTTTTTCTTTTTTTTGAAAGAATGTAACTGCTTGTTCTGGTGTGTCCTTCCTTAGATCTTCCTCACAGTACATTCCTTCACTCCTTTTTAGCTATGCAAGCCATTCATTACTGCGGTTTTTACCTTTATCTCTTCTCTGCCCTTTGTTTCTCTTTGATACTTAAGACGGAAAGTTCAGCCTTTCCTCACTCCACAAACAGTTTCCATGCGACGCTAACCACACTCTGCTATCTGGACTTCTACAGGTAGCTTGAGAGACTTGAATAGCACCCATCAATCATGACCTTTACACCCCGTGTTTGAACTCAGAGGTTAGATACGAACGCCAGCTAAACTTGGACAGCTTTTTAACTGACACCACGTGGGGGGATTCATACTCTGTAGGTTTAAACAGGCAAAAAGTTCAGATGTTTCCCCCATCATCCCAGCTGGCTGCAGAGATTGTGGCTGTGGCATGCACAGTCCGTGGCGTGCACTGCGCATCCAGGTTGCAGGATGAAGGAGAAACCACATCAAAGATCAGCACCCACTTGCAGTGTTGTTGTAGCCGACCTTACTCTTCTCCTCACCAATATTCACGCCATGTCACGTGGCAAACCGCTACACAAAACCAACACCAATGTAACTGTGCCTTCTCAAGAAATCTTCCCCTTAGTTTTATATGTCTAGCATCAGGCCAGTCAAAGTTGCAAGGTAGTTTTTGATACTTTCCAAAGAGCAGACTACTTCCATAAATATATTAACTAACTTTAATGCTGCTTAGCATAAGTCTTTGTTACATACTTTCGACAATATACTCCAGTGTAAATGCATTTTATACAATATGAAGTATTTTTTAAAGTATATGGCTCTAGAGAAAACATTCACAAAACAAGTTTCGATGCAAGTAGAGAATTAGGAAAAAAAAAAATAAATCAGCCAGAGTACAAAATCTTTGGAAGATAAAAATTTCAGAAACCAAGACATATGAAAACATCCCATTGCAGTAATTCAGGATGACTGAGTGATTCCAGTAGCCAGAAGGGCTGCTGCTTGCTGCTTCGTCATCCCTAAGGCCCTGTCCTGGCTCAGCAGGTACTGCAGGGCTCTACTGGAGGTGGCTGGCTCTCAGAGAACCTTGTACCTGACAAGTTTGATAAAGTCACCTTCATAGCAGGCACCCCTGTTGGCTCAAGGAGAATGAGTAGGCCTGGGAATAAAGGAAGCACTGTCTTCCCTCACACAACTGCTGCTGGTCTCTGCAGAATATTCAGGTGCAAGATGTGGCGAGCAAGCTGTTTTACAAATGACAGAGAATCTTTATTTTCCCAAGTTATCAATTTGGCACTATTCACAAGAGCAAAAATTATTTACTAGCATTATAAAAAAAGTTTCACCATCTGCAAAATGGTGTGAATGTTAGGGAGCAGAGCGCAATGCTGTCATTTAGTTTTGTTAAATTAATTTTCTATATATAATATCGCATGTCATTACACAACAGGGATATTCAAGAGAGGCTCAATTAAACTTCATTCATGCCAAAAGCAAACTCCATAGTGGGCGGACTGCTCTGCATTCCACTGCTTTCAGTGAGCTGTTGCATCGGCATCTGTCCAAATAAAAACACCTTTACAGTGCTGCAGGTTTAGAATGCAACAAATAACACACTGCAAGAATTGAGGTCAGACATTATTCACCATTTGGTAACATTCCATTCAAATGATACTGACTCACATAATAAGTAACAAATGCAGCACTTGAAGTAACAAAAACAAAGCTGTACTCCAACAAAGTAAAACAGTGCAAATATTCCTGTTAAACAAAAATATACCATGTATATACACACACAACACAAATGCACTGTTTTGTTTTGCAGTATAAATAGATCTGATTAAGCTAAATTCCTAAAACTAGTGAACTACTGACTGACAGTCCCAGTGTCCATCTACTAAGGAATACAGTAAGCTGTTAGGATCAGGCGACCATAGCTGGATTTGGCTATAACAGAGTATTGACAGGTTTCACTGGATGGATATTTAAAATATTTTCTCTGTACATCAAAGTTAATAATACATATACTAAGTTGGTATCACAAAGTCAGCTTGGGCTCTGATCACGCAGGGAGCAGCGCACAGAAAACCCATGACTCTGCAGGGAGCCTCAAGGCTCTGCCTGTGCGGAACGCGATTAATGCTGCAAACCACTTAAGGCCCCATCCAGGACTCAACAAGGGGGGAGCTCTTTAGCTGCCTGTGCCGTTAACGTGTTGGTTTAGTTTCCATTTTCTTCCTTTTCTGATTTAGCACAAGAATTCTGTAATCTGCTAGTGACACATCTGTTTATCCCTGAACGCTGTAATACCATACAATGAGTATGCTTCTAAGGAGTACACAATAAAAGTAAAAATTAGAAAGGGAAGAGATGGAAACTTGTTTTCTGTTAAGGAAATCCTGATTAGGGAGTTATTTGCATTTCAGCACTTTAAAACAGATTTTAAGCAAGAAAAAAGTCCTTTTGGAATTAGATTACAGTAAAACAGACAAGTAGCACTTAATTTGATCTGAAGTGGAACACTCAGGCATTAATCTCTCTTCAACTGCTATAGCCTCCATCTCCTTAATGCCAGGGCTGTGCTGCAACCATAACAAACGGCTGTTGCAAAGGCAAAAATCTAGAGGAGCAGGGAGAAAAGGAAGAAAAAAAGAAAAAAGTGAATCACACATTATATTGGTCTACATTTTTTTTCCCATTCTAAATGAATACAGGAATGTACACAAATGATTCAAAAGTTACCTCCCCCGGCCAAAATACTTAAGGTAAAGATAGGTTTGGGATCCTCTGAAGTTTTCTCATGAACCTCTCTGTTATAAGCCCATATTATTGCTTTTACCTTACTTTCCTGCTTCAGATGACATTTTGAAACAGAATATGCAACAGAATGCCTGCATAAGTTATGGTACAAAGTAATCATGTGCGTATGTACACCGGGTATTTAAATTTTCTCTTAGCTACACTGATCAAACATTAATCTCAGATTTGTTTCCAAGCGAATGCCTTTACAAGCAAACAACTAAGACAACATCCCTCTCAACAGCAGAACTCTCTTACTTGCAGAAATACAGGAACAGCTTCAAATCTGGCCTCCTTGATCAGCTAACCAGCCATTAGAACAACTTCCTGAGAAACGCCAGGAGTTGCTACTGCTCAAGAACTGAATTTGATAGATTTGAACTGAAGGTCATGCCACAACAAATTTGAATATATGAAGTAAACCAGAAGGAAGAAATGAGAAACTGAATTGCTGAAAAAAATAGTTTCTCATCTTGTCCAGTGCTAACAATGGAACGTGTCTCTTAGAACGTATGAATTCACCCATATAAAATGAACATTCATATTTTTAATCACAGTATACAAAAGTAATTTAAAAAGAGAAAATGTTAGCATCCTTTTATTTTTTTCCACGTAGATCACAGGGCTGTTTTAATGAAGTGTTTCAAAGGATTAAAATACTTTTCTGCATGTCCTGACTTCCTAATTATATACTTTTGGGAAAAAAAGCAAAGACACTAAAGACTACAGTTATCTGATTCACCATTTCCCAGCATTTCTTAATTAAAAGTACTGAGGCAAGTTACAAAAGAGTCTTCTCCTCCTCCCCTATCTTGACAGGGATTTTGAGGGGCTTCAAGAACTGAATTCTCCCTTGGAAAAGTACTATGGAATTGGGAAATGGTCACTTAGAGTCCCCAGTACCCTATTGTCATAACAAATGACTGAAGTGACTGTGTATTCAGTGGGATCTGAGCACACTGATCGAGGATTGAAGAGCTACACTTAAGGGTAGAATTTAAGATACTTGCTTAGTACGAGACAGAGCCTCTGCCCTTGTGCCATACGGCCATACAGGAATCAGATGCGCTCGAGTGTGTTGCTGGCAAGCAGGTAATGGTGAGGCATTCTGGACTCGGAGACCGATGTGCCCACCTCACCCCTTCAGAGACTGGCTTGCCAAAGCAAAAGGCCTTTCCTCTTTCTTCTTCTCTTTCAGGGGGAACGTGAACCTTACACCTTACGTTCATCTGGTTTTATCCTAAGGTGAGCTGAAGGTGCAATGGTAATTGGTGGATTTAGTTTTAAGGACAACAGATAGCCACAGAGGGTTTTAGAAGCTTAATAAATGCATACGGTTCCCTGAGGTATGCAAGCCCCCCTTGATGGTACAAAAAAAAAATAAGAGCAGTAGTTTCAGTTCTTGAAGTTAAGCCTACTGACACACCTCTACTTGCCCTTCAGGAGTCCAGCCGGGAAGAAAGCTAGAGCCTGGTATACCTTCTGACTCAGCTATGCACACCCACATCACCAGATACAGTGATTTGGTGATGATGCAACTATAGTGAGAAAAATGCAGTCTGAGCTTAGGCTATCAATAAAAGCACTCTAGTCCTTGCCATAAGAGAGAGCAGGGCCCTTACAGATAACTTTTATGCCTTACGTAGCAAGTACATATCTGGAGCTTCACAAGGAGCTAGTCCAAGGTTTTTTTACCCCATGGCACATTCAGGACAATCCAACTGGCATAAAAAAAAGCAACTGAAGTTTGAGCACAGGCATGAAATTCATGCTTGATGCTTCAATGAAGGCTCAGTTGTAATCTTTTTCCTCTATTCTGATAACCAACATTGCTTTTCCAAAATACCTCATCTAAAAACTATAAGCTGTAGTGATCATATATTTAAAACACTCTAGTTAAGAGTAGGAACTGAGCACCTACCACATTAGCATCAGCTTATTCCAATATTTTTTGCATGTCACTGTTAGACACTATTTGCTGCTCTCAAAGACAATCCTTTCTCTCACAGCTCCTCTTTCTATTCCAGCTTGCTGTTAAGTCCCCAAGTTGAACCTTTGGCTGCAAGGGCTTACAACAGACTTCTGTTTCCCAGATTCAAATACATGAAATACATACCGAGGCTGCTATGCTTATGTTATATTCATGATCAGTTACAATCTTCTCTTGTGTGGTGGAATTGAATATGCAGGGAAAGTGATGCAGAGATGTAGTTGCTGCTTGCAGTAGAAAAGCTCCAAAATAAAAGACAAAAGTAGACCCATGGAAAAGAAAATCCTGAAAAGCAAATAACAAATCAGTCTGGGCTACAATACGTATCTAATTCTTCTAGTCTCAGTACAAATGAAACCCAGCACTGAAACATGAAACGAGCACTGATAACAGTAACTTTAGATAAGCAGTGCTAAATCCATCCCAGCGCTTAACCAGGACATGTTTTCACAGCTGCTTGCAATTATAAGCAACTCACTAACATAATTAGTGATAAAGGGCAACTCTCACTCTCCCCAAACCCCATATTCTTTCAAATGAAGAGGCACGTGCTCATCTATATGTACATATGCTGACCTTTTAGATCACTTTAAAGCTATTAGGGCTTAGAGAACTCTCCCTGCATATGGCTTATGTAAAAACGAAGGGACATACAGTCCAACTTTATCACAATTTAAGCAGTACAATACAAGCTTAAGGTCCCTCAAATCCCTTCTTGGCTATAATCTAGGCTCCAGAAGTACCCCCCTCCATGCTTGAATTTGGCTTCTGTAAATGCCCAGAAACACCTCAGCCTTGACACAGCTGAAGTTTACTTCCCAATAGAATCAGAATCCAAGAACTGGGGCATTTCCTCAACTCCCTCTGACTTGGCTCTACACAAAATAGAGCACTTTGGAAGTACTTCATGATGCTGTGGAATAGAATGCCTGAGACCTGAGAGGAAAGGCACTAGGATTTACTTTAAATATGCTTCTCTCCTGGCCTTCTCTAGGCGATTCCCTCCTCTGTGGTGAAGGCTAGCTGAACATAAGGTTTAAACATCTAACTCTCCTTTCTGGATTTGATTACTGGAGCACATGAAAAAGCAGCTCTGGTGCCTAAATCTCTTTGTGGGTTGTATTTCAGAGTCCAGCGTTCCACACAGCAAGATCCAAGATGTGTTCCAGTACAGTTTTAAAATGTCTAAAATATTCTCCCAACATCTCCTTCTGTTGTTGAGTCTGCAAAGCTGACATTTGCACTGCACTCAGTTCCTGCGTCCATACAACATATACTTTGTGCCTATACCTATACAGCTCTGCAAAAGCCATAGGCACAATTTTTAAAATTAGACACAAGCACATGTATGCTTTTTGATGATACCTGCGTTACATAGTCTATCTCCAGCACTAATGAGTTCTTTATACACTTTTAATTCACTTGAGTGCAATGGACCACCAGTACGCCAAGAGTGAGAATCCAGGGCACACCATGTGCGAGTCCAACACAACAGCAGTCAGCACTCATATGCACTAGAAATGACTGTGCAACATCCTTACCTACTGTCTGACATCAAAGTGAGAACGTGCTGCCTTTCCCTGTTTAGAGAATTGTTTCTTCATAGATGTGAGTTTTTCTTTTATTGAGAGGATTTTCATTTCAAACTCATCAGTTGTTCCCTATTTGACAGCAGCTAAAGCTACTTAAATCACACTCTAGTCAGTTTTCATAAGTTACGATATAAGCTTCTACTGCAGTTTCCCATTCCACTTAGATCAGGAAATAATTTTCTCTTAATTAAGAATCACTTGATCATTTGAGGTTAGGTCATAAAAGTGTACTGCTTTTCTTAATGACTGCTAATTACTGGGAACCCAAGTTTTGGCAAAATAGCTGCAGTAATTCCCAGCTTCTGGTTTTCCACCCTGTCTGGATTGTCAGGGGTTTTTTTTCCATTTTTAAAAAACAATTACTTCATCTTGGAGTATCACCAGGAGGCCCCACTGACATCAACAGAACTGAGAAGATAAGGGGGCAGAGTGTGGCTTCCTGACCTACCTGAATAGTCTCCATGTGCTAGGCTTGCCAGATCTCAAGCTAAGACACATTCCCTCAGTCTCCAGCTCTGCTGTAACACCTGCACCTCACAGAAAAAAACAGTAGGGACCTACTCCAGCATGACAGTGCTGAAGCCACAGCGCTCCACTGCAGCTGGGGGAGGCACTTCTCGCCACCAGACACTTACTGTTGTGGCTTCCCCCTGGTCACTCGAGCTGGCAGACAGACATACGCATCTTTCATGCTACCGCCCACGTGCACCGCATCAGACTGCACGCAGGTGTGTGTTCGCTGGGTGACAAATACTGGACCCCGTATCATGGCCTGACATACCCACTTCATAGTGCAGGATTCCAGCAACTTGAAAGGTCTGCATAAACCCCTGGGTAATCAAGGACATCCATTATTCCTGGGCTGCTAAATACCTACTGTGCAACTATGTCAGTGTTACCAGCTGTACACTTTTGGCACCACTGCTCATGAAGGAGCAGAAATAGCTCCATGAGGAAGACAGTGCTGACTGCATACAGGAGCGGTATTTTCAGAAGACAAACTCTTTCATTTCCTTCATTCTCCTGCCAAACCCTCTAATTTCCTTCTCCTGGCAGCAATTACAGTGAAGCTCTGTAGCATCAGTAAGGTTTCACGTTTGTATGGTTACGGTTTCTGTGACCAAACAATCCAAGATCTTACGAGAGAGGGTTTTTTGATTTTTAGTAATTGTTAGCATGGTGCCTAACTCTCCCTTGCCTCCATGCTTGTATAATCATTGAAACCTCATACAAAGTGTATGTAAAACACTACCAGATCTGCATGATGTGTTAGTTCACATCTAATTTTGTAAATGAGAGTGTTGTGAGTCAGGTTGTGAAGGATAGTATTTGTCATACCATCTGGTTTAATACAGTGATGTACAGCATGATGTACCTCCATAATGTCCATATCTTCCCCCATCTTTTCACTGTGTAGCATCTTATTTTTTAAGTATCTGTATTAGTATCAATGGAGCTAATTATGATGTAAGGTATTACTAAATGCAGGGCTGTCAGAAACCCACACTATTTTTCAAATTTACATTTAAACTCCTGGAGTCTTAAACCACATTTGTTCACGAATCTCTACATGAAGCTATAGTACTCCAACATAACTAAGCCATGACTCTTCCCATTTTTGACCTAACCTAATGACCTGTAGCTTCTGAGTTCAACTGTAAATTTCATTTATGAAATAGCAAACCCCATGTACTTATTTAAATACATGCCAACCTACAACAAACAGGTACACCTTTTTATTTTATAGCAATATAGTTTTAGTGTTTCTAGTAATTACTTATTTGTAAAGGAAGGTAAAAAATCCTTGTGAAGTTCTGCTAAAGAGTTTAGTGCCAACAAGTTACAGAACATTTGGGTACCAAATAGTGGTCAAATGAGCTACCTAGTGTTATTTTTATTGACAGCTGGAAGGGCCTGGATTTCAGCTACTATGTTAGAGAAAAAAACAATTCACTGCATTTATTTAAGATGTTGACTTAGTTATGACAGCTTTTTAGATTAAGTTACAGAGTCCCACAGCTGCAGCTTTTATATGTCATGTCGCAATTTCCTGACACAGAAAGCTTTTCAGTAATTTATCATATACAAGGGGACAAAATTAACAGTGCAATAAATCACTGCCAGCAGCAAGTAGCCAATGTGTGAGACATACTTAGACAACTGTTGTAAGAACATCTGTATAGGATTTTCAATCTATAAAAGGCTGTGCCCTCACCCAGCAACTCTTAAATACATGCATGATTGTAAATTGGCAAACAGTTTCAATGAAACCCAGGACACTATTAATTTACTTAAGTTATGCACATGCTCAAGGGCTTTGTTGCGTCATAGCTTGTGAGGATGTCGCATCATAAATCCCTGTAAAGGTCTCTGTACTTGTAACTCATTATTAGCCTAATTACTGCCTGTATTGCGCTGGAAAGCTGACACTGTACATGTATTCACTATCAGAGTGCTAAAATTTGCTTTAATAGAATCCAGTCTGTTATCACCGATGGGCTTTGAAGTTACCAGTCAGAGCCCCAAACTCATGAAGCTCTATGATTTGCTTTAAAGACCTCTTCTTTTAAGGGACTGTCCGTGAATACCTTGAACAGATAAATAACCACAGATGTTGATACTGAAGCATGCAATTCCAGCTATGATCAAGAAAAGTACCAATAGGAAAACTAAGCCATGAAGGAGGAAGGTGAAGGTGATCAGCAGTTACAAACAGCCATACTTTAATATTTTAGAAGTTCTGGCCATTTTGGAAGATTTTTTGGAAATTCCCATTCTGATGACAGTTTTGCCACCTCTTACTATTCACTTCTAGTAATATAAGAGAGTGTGATACCATCTCATGCTCAACTACTTAAGCACTAAAAACTCAAAGTAAAAAACAGTTAATGAGTACATAAATTAGCAGTCAATAACCCGAGGTATCCACGTGGTTGGTAAAAACTGGAGCCAACAGGTTCCCTTTTTTAATAGGAAGGTACAGTCTGTGAGAACTACTGGCACAAGCCATAACAATCCATTGCAGCAAGAATCAAGTCTTATCTTCACAATGAAGAAAAGCTGAGCAGAGTGTAATGATTATCTGTAGTCTCACCAGGCTTCCTCTAAGAAAGGTAAACATTAAGTCTCCTAAAAAGATGTTAAGCTTTACCATAATGCAGGCTATGCTGCCTTTGACCACCTAAAGGTCTAACAGCCACTCACTGATGCTGCCCTGGCTTTAAGAAATTGACCCAAAAGCCAGCAGAAGACTTTCTTAGGAGCTGGAGGAGACTTCCTGGATGCTCTAGTCCAGTCCGTGCTATCTCAGGCAACCACATCACACAACGTGTTCACACATGTGTCACTTCCTTTACAATGTTAGATGTATCTCTCTACCCCCCATCATTCACAGGGTGTTACTACCACTTCTCTAATAGTCAGAATAGTCCGATTTCCAGTCCACAATTACTTCTGGCCATGTAAATCAATTTGTTGTCATGCCTTGTTAAACTAGTCCTCTTCCTGCTGCTCATGCATTTTATGTGCTTATAGAGGACAAGTATACTCCTTCAATCAGTTTCAAAAGCTGGGCTCTTTCAGCCTCCATCATAAAACAGGTCCTGTATTTCCTCTGTCATCCTTATAGCCCTACTCCTTCTTCTTCCAGTTCTGAATTCCTCTGTTTTGAAAAACTTTCCGCTAAAACAGAAGGCCGGGCATTAAGACTTACGATCAGTACTTCTCAAGAAATGAGTTTTCAGTTTATAAAACAAGGGGAATCCTTAAATAAAGAAAAAAATCTTACCATCTGGTTCCAGTTGACAGCTATTCTATTTGCATAACCGAAGAGGAACACACAGAGGAACACAATGGACAGGAACCATGCAGTCACTGCTACAAACATTACCCATCCCTGCAGCAACGCCAGTGGAACTCGGGTAGAAGCTACCAAAATCCAGACTATTGTTCCAAACAGCTGCAAGGAATGGAATACAGACAATTAGCTCAGAGATAACTTTTATTCAGTCCTTTCTGCCTAAGAACTAGTATCACACATCAGCACGTCCTCAGATTACTTTTAAGAACCAAGAGGAAACACTTCAAAAGTACTCAGAAAGCCCAAGTGCCTTTCTCAGAAATGATAGGCACTAAGTGGCAGTAAGATGAAGCCACTCTGAAATTCTTAAAAGCTCTTAGTCTTGAAAATGGAATTTACAAACCCCAGTGATATGCGTGCTGCTACTGAAAATTTTACCCTTACTCTCATTTTCAGGAAAATAAAAGAAATGTGAAAACATGGCTCGCACATATACAAATCTCCCTCTGTATGTGCTAAAGTTAGCATGACAAGGATGTACATCACATTTGGATTCAATCTCATAGTGTTTAGAATCATAGTAATTAGTTTTGTAGTCCTAATCAGATGGGATACAGAAAAGAGATGAAACTGCATCCTCTTTTTTAATGCATTTGTAATAAAATGCTGAAAGAGAACACATTAAGCAATAAAGTGAAAGAGAAAACTAGAATACAGAATAAGGTGAGTTGTAAATTATGTTGTAATGACAAGAAAAATATACAGCTTTCCAGAATTATCATAACCAAGGGAAGAATTTAGCACCGCCAATTTTCTGGTGGGGATGCTGTCCTATGATGGGCTGATGGAGAATTTATGCACTCTAAGGCCTGCCTGGTTTAATCAGCTCTTGGCCTAATGAAGGGTACTGTCTCTCCCTGAAAATCCTGCCTCTTTATAAAAAAGGAAAACGGGAGAAAGCATAATTGACATCTGAAGCATGTTCATTTATTATGGAAAGATTTAACTTCATAATCCAACCTGCTGTATAGTGCCAGCTACAATAAATTTCCAAGCAAGTTACTACTTTCCTGTTTAAATCCTACAGATTTACAACTACAAAGTCAGAAGCTACATTTACAGATTTGGAGAACTTTCTTTTGAATCGAGGTTGGATGAGAGATACCTTTCAAAAGATGCCCGGTATAAAATTTGTTGGTTCCTCCCTCATGTTACACTGCAGCAGCACATATGTAAAGTTGCATTGCTAGCTCAGTTTGAAACTCCCAAGGGTTTATGTATTAGCCTTCAAGTTGTTCTCTAGGGTTCCTTTTTTAGCTCCTGCGAAGAACCAAACTTTCTCTAGTTTCACAAGACTGCAGGTGCAAGTTTGTAACTCAGAGACCAGATAGTGATGGGCAGTGAGGAAGCAGAAGGAATAGCAGAAAGCATCTGTTAAAAAGCACACACGTTAAATGTTTTCAGTATTTTGAATGTGCAACCTTGTAGGCTTCTTTAAAAATACATTCAGAAATCTATTGTAGAGACTGCAGATCTCAGTGCCCACTGCCATGCCATTTCCCTCATACTACACCTGTCCACTTCAGCTCGGCTGTCAGATGTATAATAGGTTGGCCAACCTAATTAACCTCTTGTCCCTGCTGACTCAGGGCCTGATTTAGCGCCTGGACTGGTGCTCTGAGCTCTTTGCTTGGGTGCAGTTTCACAGCTTGCAGGGTGGGATGCATCTCACAGACTGGGACCCAAGCAGTATTCAGCTCTGACCCCAAGGAAAAAAAAAAAAAAATAAAAATCAGATGAGTTCTGCCAAGGGGTTTTTGGTTTTGTTTTGTTTTTTTTTTCTTGTACTAGTTAGCACCACAGCTCTGCAGAGCCTTATTCTCAGCCTTAGCTCAAAGGTCCTCAGCCCGGTGTACACCAGTAAGGTCTTGCACGCACATGAAATTGAACACACCTGTAAGAGTTTGCACAGGACCCGTAACACACGCACACAGGCAAACCCCCGTGTAACTCTCCATGGTGGATTTTTGGGCCTGGGACTCTGCGTGGCCCTTCCTACCTCCACGGGCCTCCCGGTGCCGCCCGGCCGGGGCCCGGGAGGAAGCGCCCCG